TCCCCCAGGCGACTGGGAGCCAACCCGAGACCATGCGCCCCCACCCCCCCCGCCATCCTTTGTAACAAAAAAACGATACAAAAGACACTCTGCCTCCAAAGTCGGAGCATGCGCAGCGAACCCGACGCGGCCTCCCCCCACCATCCCGGTAAAAAAACAATACATATTACACTTGGCGGCGGCGGCCGTTGCGGCGGGGGCAGCGGTTACAAAACACACTCTGCCTCCAATTCGGAGCATGCGCAACGAACCCGACGCGGCCTCCCCCCACTATCCCTGTCAAAAAAAGCGGATTGGCCCCCAGTAGCTGCCCATCCAAAGACGACTGCTGAATATGCTGAGGCTCGGGCCAGACTCGGGTGCTACGTATGTGATGGGAGGGCGGGTGGGAGTGAGCGAGACGGCTTGCGGGCGGGGAGGGGATCTTGACCCCTCCCCTACCCCCTCCTCTGGACCTAGACGGGGCGCCCCGCGAGCGGTCAGTGCGTCCAAGATGGCCCAAGATGGCCCCAAGAGGGCCTCAGAGAGCCCAAGATGGGCTGATCTCCAAGATGACTCAAGATAGCGCAAGATGCCTCGAAATGGCTCCCAAGATGCTCCAAGACGCCCCAAGACTGCTCCAAGACGGCTCTAAGATGCCAAAAGAGCTCCCCAAGGATGCCCCCAAGAGGCCAAAATCCGTCAACAGCCTTCGGACAATCAATGTTTGTTGCTTTCTCATAGTTTCGTTTCCGATGGCCATTCGAGGCCTTCAGCTGGTTCCAAGATGGCACAAGAGAGCACTAAGAGGGGCCCAAGGGAGCCCCAAGACGGCCCCAAGAGCGCCGAAGAGCGCTCCAAGAGCGCCCCAAGAACGCTCAACAAAAAGGCGACGTGGGGGGCTCCCGAGGAGCGAGGCTAATTAAGGGACCCCCCTTCTCTGATCGATGTCCTCCAAGATGGCCCCCAAGAAGCACCCAGGGCCTAAGAGGCCCCAAGATGGCCCCAAGATGGCCCCAAGATGGCCCCCAGAGGCCCCCAAGGGGCCTCCAGGAGGTCCCCAAGAGGACCCCAAGCAGCCCCGAGAGGCCCCCACGAGGCACCCACGACGCTCAAGAGCACCCCAGGGCCGCCAAGAGACCCCCAAGACGTCCAAGAGGCCACCAAGAATCGCCAAGAGATGTCCCAAGAGGCTCCGAGAGGCATCCAAGAGACCTCTGGCCCTTTTGCTTGCCCTCCTCATCCTGCTCCTCCTTCCTCCTCCCATTCCTTCTCTTCCTCCTCCTCCCCCTCCTCCTCCTCCTCCTCCTCCTCCTCCTCCTCCTCATCATCCTCATCCTCATCCTCATCCTCATCCTCATCATCATCATCATCATCATCATCATCATCATCATCATCATCATCATCATCAGCATCATCATCAGCATCAGCATCATCATCATCATCATCATCATCATCATCATCATCATCATCATCATCATCATCAGCAGCATCATCATCATCATCATCATCATCATCATCATCATCGTCATCATCATCATCATCATCATAATCAGCATCATCATCATCGTCATCATCATCAGCAGCATCGTCATCAGCATCATCATCAGCATCATCATCGTCATCGTCATCATCATCAGCATCATCATGATCATCATCATCATCATCATCATCATCATCAGCATCATCATCATCATCAGTTTCACCCTCCTTCTCCCCACTCCCTCATCCATCCATCCAGGCCTCCTCCTTCTCCTCCTCCCTCCTGCGTACGGTTCGACCGTCCCCCTCTTTTCTCCCGCATTTCCCTCATCACCTCAACTCGCTTGGACATCGTTTCTGGGTGGGCTGGTGAGGAGACGCGAAGCGTCTAGAATTTGCCAGAGTTTCACGGGTTGAGGGCGGGTGGTTTTCAAAATGTGGCTCTCGCCTTAGGGCCGCGCACATTCGAGTAAAAAAATGCTGCAATTTCACGGGTTGAGGGCCGCTGGTTCAAAATGTGGCTCTCGTCTTAGCGCCGTGCACATTCGTTGTAAACATGCGCAAGAGCTTCACGGACGGAGGACGGCTCGGTTTCAAAAGGTGGCTGTCGCCTTAGCGCCGCGCCCATTCGTTAAAATACAACAAAACGGTTTGAGGGCGGGTGGTTTTCAAAATGTGGCTCTGGCCTTAACGCTGCGCACATTCGTTTCAAAATGTGTACGGGTTTCACGGATTGAGGGCGGTTTCTTTTCAAAATGTGGCTCTCGCCTGAGCGCCGCGCCCATTTGTTTTGTTGTTACACAAAAACAAAAAAAACAAAAAAACAAGGGTTCCACGGATTTCAATGATGAACTTACCTGTTTTGGAAGGGTGCCGGATTACGCGGGTGCAACAGTTATGCTGCGTCGCAATGCTGAAGTCCCAAAAATGACGTTCTTGCACGATTCCAGACCGCCAGGACGAAGCAGTCAGATTGATCCGTGGTGTGGAAATCCCAAGAACAATGATTTGACATGCTTCGAGGTCTTCAAACGATTGTCTTCCATCGAAGCAGTTCCCACAATGGCAATGAAACGTTGCAGGGGCCTGTGAACAAGGAGCTTGGAGGAAGGGTTCATTCCAATATCGTTGATGGCTATTGGGTTTACACGGGTCCTCTTCCTCCTCCTGCTCTTGCTCCTCCTCCTCCTCCTCCAACTCTTCCTCCTCCTCCTCCTCCTCCTCCGTCACCCCCTCCTCCTCCTCCTCCTCCTCCTCCCACTTCCTCTTATTCCTCCTCCTCCTCCTCCACCTCTTCCTCGTCCTCCTCCTCCTCCTCCTCAACCTCCTCCGTCACCTCCTCCTCCTCCTCCTCCCACTTCCTCTTATTCCTCCTCTTCATGCTCCACGTCCTCCTCCTCCTCCTCCTCCTCCTCTTCCCATTCCTCCTCCTCCTCCTCAGGTTCCTCCTCCTCCTCCTCCTCTTCATCCTCATCCTCCTCCTCCTCCTCCTCTTCATCGGTTCGTTGTTCCTTCTGCCTCGCGCTGCCTCCCCCTCCCACCTCCTGCCCCTTCTCCCTCCCCCATCCTCCTCCTCCTCCTCCTCCTCCTGCTCCTGCTCCTGCTCCTCCTCCTCCTCCTCCTCCTCCTCCTCCTCCTCCTCCTCCTCCTCCTCCTCTTCCTCCTCAGAAAAGTCCGGCTCGAGCGCGGCACTGGCGCAGTGCCACCGTGGGAGTTCTGGACAGCAAAGTTGGAAGCTGCAGTGCCGCCAGAAGCTGAGCTGGGGGGGCGCAGTGCTGTTGTTGGACAGGGGGCGCGGAAGCTGGCACGCGTACCCTGACGAGGCAGGCGATTTCAGAGAACGTGGTGTTACAGCTGAGGATGAGCGGATGGCCAAGCTGGCGGTCTCCCCCGGGGAGGCTGGAGGCCACAGCAGCGGAGGACCAGATCCACATCTGCTGCCGACCATGAGCGATCTAAAGGAGGTTGGGTCGGAGACGGTCTGAGTTGTGGGTGTCGTTCCTCATATACCATGCTATTCCCCCTTCTTCCTGTTCCTCCTCCTTCTCCTCCACCCCCGCCTCTCCCTCGGACCTGTGACCTTGGAAGAGGTGAAGGGCAGGATGAGAAGCATCAAAGCCTCAGTGAAAGAATGGTCGGAAGTGCCGTGCGCTGCCAGGTGCAGGATCCGGCTCCATCGTTTGCGAGCGTGCTAGCCGACGCGCTGCCTCAGACTTCACACAAAGCCCGTGTGAGTTGTTACCTGCGCGGCGAAGGCGTTTGACGCTGTGTCTGTAATCCGCGTTCTGACCTAATCAGCAATATCCTCAACAACAAGACCGAATCAGCAATATCCACAGCAATCTCCTCCTCCGCCTCCTTGTCCTCCTCCTCCTCCTCCTTCTCCTGCCCTTCCTCCGATCCCACCCTTATCCTCCCACTCTTGGGGTACGACGGCTGGCTTATCCAGCTACCGATGCTTGAACACCGATCACATAGTGCTTTTCCACACAACAGTTCAGCTCACATCAAGATTGACGAACACCATCGATAACGGCACGACGGCTACTTTCAATATCTTTGGGCATGATGGCACACACGACACGGAATCCTAGCTCCAGGCACAGCTCCAGGCGGCGAATATCTAGTCTCCCGCGGCGAGTGACAATGTGAAGAGTGAGCTGTAGAGTATATGTATCAAAGCCTTCATGAAAGCCTAATGTTTTCACTAGTTTCGACGTCTCAGCCGGCACTTCTGGCTCGCACCAGGCCCAGCTCTCCTGATCCAAACACACAGGCATGAACTCGTGCGTGTCCCAGTTTCCAGACTTGCAGGGGATCCTGAGCGGAAGCCGATAAACGTGCAGCGGAGAGCCGAAGTTCCATAACTTGTTCAACACAGGTCGTGGGTTCCGGAAGCTCCACTTTCAGGAGCCTCTAGGTTTTGAGGTAGGCGCGACGTTCGGACGGCCCGAGACAGCGTATGTTGCATGAGCGTTGCGCTGGTAATTCGACTTGGCGCAATTTCTCTCCAGTCTGTTTGTTATGTTTCCAAGTCGCTGTAGCTCAGCCGCGGCAGTTTGGCACAGAACTTGTGGAACAGATGGTTCGTTGAGATAGGAAGCCTGAACTACTAGAACTGCAGACGCTGCGGTTGTTGCAGTCCTGGCCTCAAGTCGTGTTCGCTAGATAGATGTGACATTGGTCGCGATGAGTTGACTTGCACGTCTAGGATCCTCGATTTAGCTGCCTCCCCCCTCCCCACTCCCCCCTCCCCCCAACCTCGTCGAGGACTGCGCGCTCCCCCGCGATGCCCGAAAGGGTCGGAGCTCTCCGACAGCCGCCGCCACCGTAAGACGAAGCCAGGACGAGGACAAAATCGGGTGAGGATACAACGATCATCTCTGAGACCCAGCGGCTCTGGAGGATGTCTCGGGCGCCAGGCCTCCTCATAGCGTTCTGGAACGCTCTGAGAGCGTTTCGGAACGCTCTGGAACGGATCTGTCCTCGTCCTGGCCCCGTCCGGCACCGCCCGAGGGACGGAAGGGCGGGGGACGGTCCCACGGCGGCGGCGGGCTGCGGCCGCCCTGCGAGCCCGGCTCCAGGCGCGCTCCTCGGGGAGGCGGCCCGCACACCGAGTGCCGTGCGTCTTGCGCACTGGCCGAGCCCAGGCGGCACTCTCTCTCGATGCAAGGAGACGTCGGCCCTGACACGGCGACGATCGGCCGCGGAGCGCGCTCGAGCCTCCGTCGGCCTCGCCGCCACCACCACGACGAGGACGAACGACTGCGACGAGGACGAAGTGAACCGGCACGACGACGGCGACGGCGACGACGGCGACGACGACGGACGGCGACGACGACGACGGCGACGACGGCAGCGGAGGCGGAGGCGGCAGCGGCGGCGGCCGGCAGAGACGCGCGGCCTCGCTCTCCCCCTCCTCGCCTCCACCTCCCACATCCTTCCTTCCCCACCCCCCCTCCTCTGCTCAATCATAATCTTCACCCCTGTCCCCTCCCCCCCATCCCCCTCCACCTCCCCCTCGATCCTCCAGTATCATCCTCCCTGGCCCCTCTCTCCTCCCCCTGCCCCTCCCCCTCCACCCCCACGAGCCTCCCCACCTCCTGCTCCCCGATCGTCGACCCTTCGACGCTGCGACGCCCGGCAAGAGGCGCGGGCGCGCACAAGCTGACGAAAACAGTCACTGGAAATCGGCGATGCATCGCCGAGAGGTCGGCGATGGGCCCGCGATGGCGAGACCGAACGCACCTGGGCAGAACTGGAGGCCCGGGCCTCTGCTCGGCAATGAATGGGAGATCGGGGGGCGACGCCTCCGCCCCTGGACAGCCCACCCCGGCCCACCCCCCCCCCTGGCTTGGGGGTCTGTCACTCGGGACTCCGGCGGAGGAGGAGGAGGAGGAGGAGGAAGAGGAGGCGGAGGAGGAGAGGGAGGAGGAGGAGGAGGAGAAAGAGGAGGAAGAGGAGGAGGAGGAGGAGGAGGAGAGGGAAGAGGAAATGGAGGAGGAGGAGGAGAAGGAGGAGGAGGAGGAGAAGAAGGGGGAGGAAGAAGAGGGAGGAGGAGCAGCAGGAGGAGGAGGAGGAGGAGAAGGAGGAGGACGAGGAGAACGAGGAGGACGAGGAGAAGGAGGAGGACGAGAAGGAGGAGGACGAGATCCGCGCACCCCCAGATCGCTTTTGGCGATGCGCACCTTCTGGGAGGCATCCCGAGGTCAGAGAACCGCCGAGGACCGGCGAAGACATCCGAGACCCTCGAGCCTCGAGTCCAAGAAAGCCCCGTCCACCCGTCTTGACGGTGCGCACAGGGGCGTGGCGCGAGGGAAGCCTTCTTAGAA